AGGGTTCCAGTTTCTCCACAACCTCGCCAGCATTTATTGCTTGCTGTTCTGTTAAATTTTGCTATTTTGACTGGGGTGAGATGATATCTCGTAGTTGTTTTAATTTGCATCCATAGAAACCTTTCATTGAGTTTCCCAAGCATAAATGTTTCTGGGAAGAGACTGCCCATCTTTGTCCATTGGAGCTGCTGGTGGATATGAACTGCTGACCTTCTGTTTAGCAGCCTTATAGGCTCCACACTAGCTCTAGTGACCTAGTTGTAAGGACTTGCACTGCCAACACAAAGGCACATAGTTCAAATCTACCAGATCGTCTTCAGGTAAAAGATGGACAATTTCCTCTTATGGATTGAAAGCTTATAAAAACTCTCTTGAGGCTCAGCTATAAGTTGGCTCCCACTTGATGGTACATAACAATGTGTCACAAAGCGCATCAATAGTACTTCCACCAAAGAAAGATGATGCACCGCAGCCTTAATATGCCTTCAGTATCCTAAGACTGGCTATATTTCAATAAGTAACAGAGAATATGATGTACAAAGTTGTATGTGAGCATTCCCTGTTATACTGGAAGTGTTATAGTACATTTCTAATGTCACATTTTGAAGTGGATGCTGTTTTTGCAGCCTACTCTGTATCACTGTTCTATCATATATTGCTTTTTCAGAAATTAGATCATTAGTTTGTCTCTGTTAAATTCTAAAAATCTGCTCCAACATACTTACACTTCATGACAACAGTAATATCTATATTGATTCTCTATTTGCTAAAAAAAAATCCCTGTCAACTTCACATTCATGCATTATCCATGCATGTTTATACACTGAAATTCCATTATGGTTAATAAAGCCACAATAGTAAAAGCTGTTAGGGAAACTGTGCTACCTACCGCTGGCTGAGGTCTCCACATAGCTCTCAGGCAGCTTCCATTGAATTCTCTCATCAAATGTCCTACACTTTTGGTTTTATTTGCTTTTGCTTCCTCCACCCCTTCTTAATTTAGTAGTCTCTTCAAGGAAACATTTCCCTTCTTTCTCCATACAGTTACACTTTGTTTCCAACCTGACCTAGTAAATGTCTTTAGAAGTACTGTGGACAAATGAGTCACAGAAGCTATGCCATTATGAGATAATATTTTTTTTTTCTATTCGGTACTTCAAAAATTTTAAGTTTAGTTCCAAGCAAATTGCGTTATGATCCCAGTCAATTGCCACATTTCTAAGAGTGAGTTACTTCCTCTCCCACTTCCCAAAGGGAGCTCTGGTGACCTAGTGGTCAAGAGCTGCTTTGCCAATCCCAAGGCTAATCATTAGAATAGACCAGCTGCTCAGCAGGAGAGAGAGGGGCAATTTCTTCCCCTGTGATTGACTGAATCTGAAAACCTGCTGGAAGATCAGTTAGTTCTGACCTGATAATACATAACAACGGTACAAATACGGGTTTGATATTTAGGAGTTTTCAAACTGAGTCTTCTAAATTAGAAGTTAAAAATGATTTCCTTGTTTTGGATTAACAGGCTAATTCTTATTTCTGGCTTTTTATTTTAGTAATGTACTGTCTAGGGAGGACTTTCAAATTAGGTTAAAATGTTTATCCCTGTTTCCAAGCAATATTTTAGGAATCTCAGTAAAGATGTCTATTGGATTGGGCTGCTTTATGATGAAACACGCGATGCCTGGATATGGGAGGATGGCTCTATTCTCTCTAACAATCTGTAAATTTCTGGAATCCTGGTACCTTGTCTGGGTTTGTTTGTTTTTAGTTTGAACTTGGCCAGTGAAGATAATGTCCAGAAGCGCAGCAGCAAAGATCAAATGTCTAGGGCATAGAGTTACAGAAATGATATTTGTGTAAAAGAATACAATTTTAATTCTACACAGAAAATCCAAGCCATGCATAAATCACAGGAAAGTTAGTGTTCTTGTGTTCTTAAATGATTTTTTAGAGATTTACTTCCCTTCTTTTAGTCTTGAGGCAAATGACATGAATATTTATACTAATGCTCACCTGTCAATATACATACTACCATTGATCCAGCTATCCTGACAGTGCCGATTCTATGGGATATTAATTTATTTTCAAAATCTTTAATTCTCAGCATTCTTTCAAAGTTTCAAATACTCTGGTTTTATCTTTTGAACATTTGTAAAGTTTGGTTTTTATTAATAAGCATGTCATTTGCAGCCTCATACAGTGACAGATTGTATGCTCTGACTTGTTTAATTAGGCTAAATCCTTCAATACATATTAAATAAAAATGAAGGTAATATGTTAAATATCACAATGATTGATAGAAAAAGCAAAAACCAAGCAAACAAAATAGTCAACAAAATTTTATGTCCGACTACTATTTATTAAAAAGGGAAAAACTAAGATTTATGGAACACTATACTCTGAGAGTTGGACAATGACTAGGGAGGATAGAAGGAGAATTGACGCCTTTGAGCTCTGGTGCTGGAGAAGAGTATTGAATGTACCATGGACTGCCAAGAAAACAAACAGATTCATCGTAGAGAGGATTAAACCAGGCTGCTCCTTGGAGGCAAGGATTCTGGGGCTTCATCTGACATACTTTGGACATGTTGTAAGGAGAAGACAGGTCTTTAGAGAGGGACATCATGCTGGGTAGAGTGGAGGACAGCGCAGGAGGGGAAGACCATCTATGAGGTGGATTGATTCAGTGACTGGGGTACTCAGAATGGGTGTGTCAGAGGCAATGAGCTTGGCACAGGATAGAGCATGGTTTAGGGCTGTTGTACATAGGGTCGCTATGAGTCGCAAATGACTCGACGGCACATAACAACAACAACAACATACTCTGATATCTGAAGCTTATGATTACTAAATAAAAAAGTGAATTATCTAATATATTAGTATCTCATTCTGGGATTTCTATAATTAGTCAGAGAATCCATCATCTCTGAACATTTTTAAACACTTTTTCCATATGTTAATATTTCTATTTTCTCTATTACAGATTTTCATTTATTGAGATTCAAACTATGGAACAAAAAAAAGAGATTGAAATTATGCAACAGAAGTGCACTTTGCATGTCTCAGAATATAAGCTTTTGAAAGAAGATTGTAGGAAGAAATATCACTTTATCTGCAAACAAAGGTTAATTTAAGTGTTTCTTGGAATTACTAAAAAATCCCTCATTTCAATCAAGTGGAACTGAATTATTGCTGACCCTCTAGAGAGGTTTTAGAGACTGTAATTGCAGGAGGAGATTGCTTATCTTTCTCTTTCAGAACCGCTGATGGGCTTGAATGACTAGACAAATACAACCTTTGGGTAAACAATACCACTCTCAATATAGGACACCCTTGAAGTTCTTGGTTTTGGGAGAGGCAAATATAGGTTCAGATAAGTAGACTTTTTATCTATTTTATTTTTATTATCAACATCTGAGATCTATCAAATGCTGCACTCTTTGCCTTATCTTGCAGTTCATATGTATTTGATGCCATGTGCTCTAAAAGCAATTGCATATCTGCTCCTACACTTGAATTTTAAGCATTGTAATGTTTATAATATTTATATTTTACTTTGTTTTTAAGTATTAACTTTATTGTCATTTCATGTATAATTTCTTACAAATTAAATTTCCTGCACAAAGTTAAGTAAAATTGTTCCTGGTGGTGTTTGCCTTCAAATTGGAAACCACTCAAAATTAGTGAAACCAAATAACACCTATAAAATAACAGCAGTGCTTCGTATGATATACTAAGTTTTACTTCCTTCTTTCTCCGATGGAGTAATTAATAGGTTAGAATTATTGGTTAGCAATGGAACATACAACACACTCTAAAATGAAAGCAAAATTCAATGCTCTTGAGTCTGAATTCACTCATGGCTGATCATCCATAGAGTTACTAAATTGGTAAATTTGAAAATTCCCCAGGAGGGGTTCATTTTTCTTCCTCTGAACGACTGGTGGCTTCAAACTGCCAAAGAACTGCGTCTCACTGAGGATTATGGACTACAACACCAAAGTTACCACAAGACCTTGTTACATGGATATAGTCTGTCTATACACACTAATGTTGTTGTTGTTATATGTCTCCAGATGTCTGTGACTCATAGCAACCCTATGAACCATAACCCTGACTGAACTCTGCCCTAACGTGACCTAATCTCACTGTCTCTGACACACCTATCCCCGTTGTTCCAGTTAGTGTATCAATCCATCTCTTCCAGGGTCTTACTCTTTTGTGGTGGTGATCTACCCTTCCAAGCATGATGTCCTTCACTAAGGACTTTTCTTTCCTAACAACATGCCCAAAGTATGTAAGACAGTTTCAAAATCCTTGCCTCCAAGTAGAAATCTGGTTTCATCCTTTCTAGGACAGACCTCACTGTTATCTTGACAGTCTGTAGTAAGTTCAATACTCTTCTCCAGCACTACTTACTCAAAGACATCAATTCTTGTGTCATTCTTAGTCATTGTCCAGCTCTCTGATGCACAGTAAATAATTGTAAAGATCATGTTCTGGATTAGCTGCACCGTGATCTTTAGACCGACATTTTTGTATCCAGCACTCTGTAGAAGTCCTTGACAGCAGTTTCTCCCAATGCAATTCGTCTTTTGAAATTTGACTGCTGGTGTTAAAAGTATTGATTGCAGATCTAAACATGATTAAATTGCTAACAGTCTCAATCTCTTCTCCATCTGTAATGGTGCTGTCAATTGGTCCAGTAGTGAGAATCTTGTTTTCTTTATGTAAAGCTTCTATCCCTATTCTATCCTTCTGTAGGAAAACTTCTGCAGGTTTTGTTCTTCTCATTTTCAGTAAGCAAGATTGTGTCATGTGCATAATGCAGGTTGTTGATGAGTCCTCCTCTAATCCTGACTCATTCTCATGAAGTCCAACCTACCAAATGATCTTATTTCACATATAGAATGAAAAAGGTATGGAGAAAGAATACATCCCTAACACTATTTTCTTGATTTTTGAATCATGCTATGTTACCCTGATCTATTCTAATGACTGGTTTCTGGTCTAAGTATTGGTTTTGCATGAACATAATCAACTGTTCCGGGATTCCCATTCTTCTCAATGATAGCCACAATTTCTTGTGATCCACACAATCAAATATCTTTGCATAGTCAATAAAACACAAATAAACATTCTTCTAGAACTCTTTGCTTTTGGTCAAGATCTGACTTTGACAATGAGGTCTTTAATACCACAGGCTCTTCTAAACCAAGTTTGTCTCTCTGATAGTTCTCTGTCAAAGTTCCATTCCAGTCGTTTTTGGAAAATCTTCCATAGAATTTTGCTTTTATGTGATATTGTTCATTAATTTCAACACTTATTTTGAGCACCTTTTCTTTTTTTAATATAACTGGAGTGGAAAAATATTTCTTCCAGTCAGTAGCCCTTGTAGGTGTCCTCCAAATTTCTTGGCACCACCTGGTGAGCTGTTTATGCTGGTAGAATTACCTGGTAGTGTCTGGAGAAATGGATGACAGTAGCTACAGAAGTAGGGTAGCTGAAGAAGTTTGATTGGAAAGGAATATGAAGAAAAGGGAGAATGAGCATTACCAGATACATAAACTAAGATTAGAAGAGGCCATTATACTAGGCACACCATAGTCAATTTTAGATAGCTCTTAGTCCTGAAAGCAGAGAACACCAGAGGAATGTCCATCTGTGTTTCATTGACTGCACAGCCATTTTGACTTTGTGAACAACAAATCATGGCTAACCTTGAGAAGAATGAGAATCCCGGATGACTGGATAGTGCTCATGTGAAATCTATACTTGGATCAGGAAGAAGTCTTCAGAACCAAGCAAGGGAACATACAGGGTTCAAAATCAGAAAAGGTGTACATCAAAGAGGCATCCTGTCTTCATACCTTTTCAATCTGTCTGCCGAACAGATCATTGGGAGGCTGGGCTTTATGAAGAGGAATGACTCATCAGCAACCCATGTTATGCCATGATACAACTTTGCTTGCAGAAACTGTGGTGGATCTGAGGTGTTTGCTGCAGAAGGTCAAGGACTGTAGTCTTCAAAATCGAAGGAATTTCAACATCAAGAAGACAGAGATTCTCACCACAGGGCCAATTGAGAGTACCATGATAGATGGAGAAGAAATTGTAGTTGTTAATAATTACAGCTTACTTAGATCCACAATCAACACTCTTGATGCCAGCAGTAAGGAAATCAAAAGATGAATTGTAAAATCTGTTGTCAGGGGTCTCTCCAGAGTACTGAGAGGAAACACTGTCAGTCTAGAGATTAAGTTGCACTCAATCCAGATTATAGTCTTCACAATTAGTTGCTATGTGTCAGAGAGCTGGACCATGACTAAGGATGGCAGAAGAATCAATGCCTTTTAATTGTGGTGCTGGGGAAGAGTCTTGAACATACCATGGATCATCAAGAAAACATATAAGTCTGTCTTGGAGTGGGTGAAGCCACATTTCTCCTTGGTGGCTAAGCTCTGTCTTACATACTTTGAGCACATGACCAGGAGGGACCAGTCCTTGGAGAAAGATATCATGCCTGGAAGAGTGGAGGGACAGCACGGGAGAGTAAGACTCCATATGAGATGGACTGATGCAGTAACTTGGGAATGGGGGCAGTGTGTTTGAGTCAGTAAATTTGGCTCAGGATAGTGTGAGCTTCAGAGCTGTTAAG